ATATATATTACATTTCTATTATAGCTCTCTCTCTCTCTCTCTCTCTCTCTGTGTGTGTGTGTGTGTGTATATATATATATATATATATATATATATTATAACAGATGCTAAAAAAATTGTAGCCAGCTTCCTATAGGTCTATAAATGACATGATTATTTATATGTGTTAAGATGATTAAATTGAGACAAAAACCTTAAAACCTTAAAATCATCTTAAAATGTGAAACTTAAAGCTTTGAAACTTAGTTCATAAATAGCATAGAAAATACTGTTAGAAAAAAAATCCAATACAGTTTTTTGTAGTTTTAATATCAGTTATTAGGAAGTGTGGAAACTGTCTGACTTTAGGGATTCTGAACATCATTATTTGTCTATCCTACTTCTTTGGTCTGTAATTTATGGATAGAAAAGGTTACTACAACTAAGTAACAAAGAATATGTGGGCTTTTTGAAGAGCAAATTTAGTATGGTTTATTCTTTTCATACAGGTTCACAACATTTATTTTCTACAAAATAATTTTTAACTATAAAAGGTATGTTCTTATTTAATTTAATTACTATGTGTGTGATTTAAAGAATTTAAATTTTAAGTCAAAACTATTAGAATCCATATGAGAAAAACCCACTTAATTCTTAATAGGAATTAGTGTAAATATCTTTCCAGACTTAAAATCAAGCATATATGCACATTAGAGATAAAATTACAGATAAAAAAGAATTATATATCTACTTTATGCAACTACCTTTTACCCTATCTCTAGTATATAACACAAGTGTTTCCATACCAGTATTTAAGCAGATTGACATGTTTCTATTTAGAATTGAACAGTTTTCCAAAGCCATATCTTGACTTTGATTTTCTCTGTGGCTTTACCACTTATGTTAATATCACTAAGTTAAACATTTCTAGATACTATATGATTTTGATTTTTCATGTGGAACCATATTATGATTAAGCTGTCTTACACAAAGTATCTGACGATTCAATCATAGTGTTACCTGTGGCTGCAATTTGTTCATTTTTCTCTGCTAAATAATACCCTAAAGGAAAAAAAATTATATATTTCTATATTCATTCTATCACTGACAAATTTCAGCTATCCTATTATTTTAAGATCTACTTTATTTTTAACTACATGTCTGGTGGGAGTTATGTGCATATGTGAACATAGGTGCTCACAGAATACAGAAGAGAGTTGGGAGTCTCTGAAGCTGGAGTTAAAGGTGGTTTTTAAGTCACCTGATGTGGGTGCTGAGAAACCAACTCTAGTCAGCTACATAAGCAACCTGTGCTATTAACTGCTAATAAATCTCTCCAGGCCCAAACTTTTCTGTTATTTTAAATAATGCTGCAACAGACATTATTGTGTACATCTGGAGTGGAATTCTAGTAGAATTATTCTATCTAGGGTAAATATTAAAATCAAATAGTTGTTTTAGCTATATCTAGCATAAACATTAGAATAAATTTTTTATTTAGTACTTTGACCTCAAAGAAATCATTGTAGAAAACAGTGATTCTTTTCTGTTATCCATAGAGTTGTTTTTCTAAAGAAGCTTTGCAACCTTTACATGACTTTGGTCACAAGATGGTCCTGGCACACAAAGAATGAATGTCTTGCATTACTGAGTACTGTAAACAGTACACAATAAGGACTAAGGTTGCAGTGGTATGATGTTTTCCTTCATGAAACATATAGATTAGATTAGGGGCTTTGGTATGAGGAACTTGTTTGCCCCCAGAAAACTTTTATATAACAATCAAAAAATAGGCTTCTGCATGACTGTTCAAGGTTCATTCATCAAGGCTAAACCTCCCTGCTGCCACAGAGCCTGAATTACTTCTAGAGTGATCCTCTTTCTTTAATTGTCCCGTGTAACTCAGAACACTGATACATATCTCTGGGTGTATATAAACAAGAGAACATCTAATGGAATAGTTAGGTCCTAGAATAAGATTCACATGTAGTTTTATAAGATATCGACAAATTACCTTCTTTTCTAATATCTTATTAATTATATTTTACAGATTTTATTTTTTAATCTAAAATTTTAAGTATATATTGTATGTTAACTATATTCCCCCAAACTATTTTTTCCTTTCAGTCCCTTCCCTTCCTTTAAGATTCCTGTGTTCCCCTAGACAGTATCATTTCTAATTTCCTATTATATATCCAGACATAAAACATCTAGGACACGTGAGAGAAAACATATATCTGCCTTTAAGAGAATAGTTTAATGCTTAATATAATTATAGCATTTGGGATCCTTTTCAGAATGTTCTTTCATAGGTCAATGTTTTAAAATGTTTTTCTCTGCTGTCTTCTAAGTTTCAGAGTTAGAGACAGGGATCTAGTTTCATTCTTGTACATGTGGATATCTAGCTTTCCCAGCATCACTCATTGAAGAGGCAGCTTTCCCCACAATGTGCATTTTGGGCATCTTTGTCAAAAATCAGGTAGCAATATCTGAGTTTATATTTGGTTCTGCTATCTTATCCCAGTGATCTACATGTCTGCTTTTGTGCCAGTGCCATGACAGTTTTGTCTCTATGGCTCTGCAGTGCAACCAGAGACCAGGTCTGATAACACCTCTAGTATTATTGGTTTTTCTCGGGATTGCCTTGGCTATCCAGGATCTTCTGTGCTTCTACATAAATTTTATTATTTTCTATTTTTGTGAAAAATGGAGGAATTTAAGGAGGAAGCACAGTGAATCTTGAGACTATTTCTGGTGTCGAGATATCAATTCATGAACATGATGGTCTTTTTGTCTTCCAGTGTCTTCAATTTCTTCAGTGTTCTAAAGTTTTCAAGGAAGAAGTTTTTCACATCCTTTATTACGTTTATTCTAAGGTATTTTGTTTTTTGAGGCAACTGCTTACAAACATTTTTTAAGGGGTTTACGAATTTATACATTAACAGCATAGTTTATAGCTTATGTAACTTTACCAACACTTGTACATTCCTTCATTTATACAAATAGATTTTTTTTTAGACTACTTTCCCCCTTTTTCTTTTCTTTTGTTTTTGTTTTTCAAGGCATGGTTTCTCTGTGTAGCAACAGTTTTCCTGGAATCAACTTTATAGACCAGGCTCAAACTCAGAGATCAGCCAGCCTCTGCCTCCTGAGTGCTGGGATGAAAGGTATGTGCAACTACTGCCTGGCCTAGACCATCTTTTTATATACATATTAATGAGACAGTTTTCTTTTCATGTTTTCCCCTTAAAAATTAGGTTGTCTTAAAAAATCTACAGATGCTATTACAATTAGATACAAATTTGTTGGCAATTATATGCTTTACACATATCTATTAGTCTGAAGTTTGTATTTTCATTATTCTGTATTTTTACAGATGGTTTCACTATGTAGCCCTGGACTGCCTCTAATTCCAGATCTCTTGTGTTAGCCTCCCGTCTTGTGCTACCATGCCTGGCCTGTGTTGTTACCCTTTCTAGCCTTCTATTTATTTATTTTTGATGAAAATAAGCTATAAATTTTAATGCAATCAAATCTTTTAAGATTTGCACTGTTGGTGACTTAAATCTTGCTCTACCCCATTTAGAATTAACATTGTTTAATTTGAGGGTGTATACTGTTTGTGTTGATATTTCTTTCTTTTTATTTTTTTCTCAAACAGGGTTTCACTATGTATCTCTGGCTGTCCTAGAACTCTCTTTATGTAGGCCAGGCTGCCTCAAACTCACAATAGAGCCACCTGCCTCTGTCTCCCATGTGCTGGAACTAAAGTCATATGCCACTATGCCCGGCACAAGTTGAAAGTATATTATGTGTATGTGTTTATCCACAGGTCCCACTATTATTTACTGAGTTGATCATAATTCTGCCACAGTTCTAAAATGCCATTTTCCCATAAAGCACATTTCAATATAAGTGTGCATCTGTTGGACTCTCTCTTCTGTTCTATTAGTCAATGTGATTTTAACTGTGCCATTTTATATTATCTAATAATTTGAGAACTGAAAAGGCATGTCTCTATGACTTGTTCTTATTCTTTTTAGGAAAAGGTTGGTATCTAAAAAGAAGATTTTGGATCTTCTATTTGTATTTTTGATAGGAACTATATCATTACCAAAGATTATTTTGACAGCTGTTAACATATACTGTCCCTTTTCATTTATTTAGGTTTCTTTCATTTACAAATTTTATTACCAACTATATCCTGTGGTTCTTATTTCTATTACACAATACTTCACATGTATTTTATTTATATCACTTGGCGTAAAATAATTCTCAATATTTAAAGAGAACAGAACAACAACAAACAAGGAACCCAGATTGTTTCTTCTTCATTATTTTGTAGAAATGTTATTTCTGTAAGATCTGAAGCCCATGGGAGACTGTTTCTTTCTTTTTCTTTCTTTTTTTTTTTTTCCCCGAGACAGGGTTTCTCTGTGGCTTTGGAGGCTGTCCTGGAACTAGCTCTTGTAGACCAGGCTGGTCTTGAACTTACAGAGTTCCTCTCGAGTGCTGGGACTAAAGGCATGCACCACCACTACCCTGCAGGAGACTGTCTCTTATAATTCATTCTTTTATCATTGGATTATTCATTAATTGTTCTCTGCGTTAACAGTACAACTAAAAACTGGCTGAGGAGTGATATGACTGTAGAATTTGGTAATATATGACTCCAGTATAGTAACATGGTACTTGTCAAAAGAAAATAAAGAACAAAGAAGTGAGCATTTACATTAACTAGTGAGAAAGTGATTCAGTAGATACTACATCTTCATTAGCTACAGCAGCCTTAAGACATTGATATTTAAATAATACATCTGTAAAAAAGGCATTTGCAAAAAAGAGAAATAATCCAAAATCACTCAAGATTACCTGCAGAGTACAATTCATCATCCTTATTATGTAGTCAAACTGCTGATGATCCAATATTGCCCGGTTCTGCTGGACATGCAAACCCAGTTCATCAGTGAGACACTGTCTGGCTGCTTTTCCTTTAAGGGCCCTCAAGGCAGCAGGAAGGGTCTGAGCACAAGAGAATTCCAAGTGAACAAATGTACCTCAAGCAACCACACTGAAAATCCAAGAACATCCTGTCAAGTATTTAATAAAATTACTAGAATTGAATTCCTAAGGAACAGGTGATTCACTGCTAAGATCAATTGTAAAACAGATTTGTAGTTATATGTTCATTTGTAAGACAGCAAGAAAAAATGTACAGGTAGCTTATAATGTAGATTTAGAAAACATCAAAGTCATTCCCCTCTCTCCAGACTTGACAGAATTTTAGTGGCCAAATAGGCTGCTGCTTAGACTACGACTCAAAGCTACAGACATTTAGATATCTTTAGATACATGCATTAAAGCTCTCATTTTAAGAATATTCAGAAATGGTTCCTCTAATTTACTATATAAAGCTGTTAATTTGCATACAGTAATAAAGAGCTTATTTAATTCAGAAAACCTAAAAAGAAGGTACAATAAACAAGAGAAAAAAACATATTATAGCAGGAGGGTGTAACAACACTAGAGGCAGGTATAAAAACTGGCTGGTATGATGGTGTGCAACTGTATTCAGAGGGGCTGAGGCAAGAGGATCAGTAAAACAAGGGTGATCTTGATTATTACACAGTGAGACTTTATCTCAAAACTCTAAAACCAAAACAAACCAAAGAAAAAAACAGCATGCCAAAGCTGAAGGCAAGAGAAACAATAGGAAGCCTACCACATTTGGAGATACACACACACACACACACACCAATCAAGTAACAAATAACCAACAAAAACACTCAACATGAAAAAGTGAGGGATGATGGGTTATCTAGTATAGTAGCAAGCAACTATATATGTTTACCAACCCCCTGTAGCAGATGTTCAGAAATGTGATCATGAGTCACCAAGAAAAGGCTATGTTGTTTTCAGCATATTCCATTGAAGGCGGCAAGAAAATCCAAAGAGGCACATTTAAATTGTAATACCAGTTTCTAACATACACTATACAATTTAACTAAATTCCTTGCCACAAAAAGAAATTACATATAAAATAAAGTATGTGAAAAAAGGCTTAAAGAATCATGCTTTAAAACTGGAGAGAAAATGGCTGGAGAAATGTGTGTTAAGAGTTAACAGTGTGTATTGCTTTTGTGGAAGATACAAATTCAGTTCCCAGCACCCACATCAAGTGACTTATCACTCTAGTTCCAGGGGGTTCTGATGCAGTGGTCTCTGCAGGGGACCTGCACTACTACTCACAGGTATATAGCGCTCTCTCTCTCTCTCTCTCTCTCTCTCTCTCTCTCTCTCTCTCTCTCTCTCTCACACACACACACACACACACACACACACACACATATGCACAGGCACAAAATTTAAAATGATAATATTAAATCTTTATAACAACTAGAGAGAAAAAAATGACTACCAAATTCTCTTGAAGGTATAGGCTTACAGTCTTAAATTTTGGACACTATTCATTTTAAATGGCTTAAAGAGACCAAAGAGAATTAGAAAACAGACCACTTGTCAACTTCAAAATATAAATCTAAAACGAAAATATTAAACAGGAAAAATGTTATTTTATTACCTTCTCAGTTTCCAAAGTTTTATTTTCAAATATAAAAGAGATGCAGTTTCTAACAACTTCCAGTCTCTGTGCACTGTTGAAAACTGTTATCACTTTATCCATTATAGAAACTAGTGGAGGAAAATAAAGAAAATACAAATAAATTAAAACTACATAAATTATGCATTGACTAGCCTACTCTTTCAAATCCTGGAAAAAATTAAAATAACAAATGCAACATAACAAGAAAATATTGCTATATATTAGTCATGATAACTGTCTTAAAGTGACTAAGTTTTCCCCTTTTGGAGGATACAACTTAGTTCACATTTTATGACAATGATAATTACCAGTATAACACTTGTAAATATATACTCATCTAACAAATCAAGATAAACCTAGAATGCTAAGCTAGAGCTAAAATGGGAAGTAGCTCCACAATCATGAAATTTTAACACATCTCCCTCAACTGGTAGGGAAGAAGAGACAAGAGTCAGTAAAGAAAGACAGCCCATAGCCCCACCTCTTCCTCTCGGTCCCAAATTGAACTTGAGTTAGAAGAGGCAAATCCGGTCTCAAAATGGAGGGCCATGATCCAAAGGAACCAGAACAGTTGAGGAAGCCGTTTATTGGTGGGCTGGGCTTTGAAGCTACAGATGATTGCTTGAGAGAACATTTTGTGAAATGGGGAACACTTACAGATTGTGTGGTAATGAGAGATTCTCCAAACAAAATGTTTCAGGGCTTTGGTTTTGTGACCTACTCTTGTGTTGAAGAGGTGGATGCTGCAGTGTGTGCTCAGTCACATGAGGTTGATGGACATGTAGTAGAAACAAAAAGAACCATTTCCAGAGAGGATTCTGTAAAGCCTGGTGCCTGTTTAGCAGTGAAGAAAATGTTTGTTGGAGGAATTAGAGAAGATACAGAAGAATATAATCTGAGAGACTACTTTGAAAAGTATGGCAAGATTGAAACCATAGAAGTTATGGAAGACAGGCAGAGTAGAAAAAAGAGAGGATTTGCTCGTGTAACTTTTGATGATCATGACACCGTTGATAAAATTGTTGTTCAGAAATGCCACACTATTAATGGGCATAATGTGAAGTGAAAAAGGCCCTTTCTAAACAAGAGATGCAGCCTGCTGAATAAGAGAGAGGTCGTGGAGGTGGATCTGGCAACTTTATAGGTGGTGGAGGAAGCTTTGGAGATGGTGGAGGTAATTTTGGTCATGGTGGAAACTTTGGTGGAAGAGGAGGCTATGGTGGTGGAGGTGGTGGCAGCAGAGGTAGTTATGGAGGTGGTGATGGTGGAGATAATGGATTTGGAGGGGATGGTGGCAACTATGGTGGTGTTCTGTTTACAGTAGTAGAGGAGGCTATGGTGGAGGTGGACCAGGATATGGAAACCAAGGTGGTGGATATGGCAGTGGTGGAGGAGGATATGATGGTTACAATGAAGGAGGAAATTTTGGTGGAGGTAACTATGGTAGAGGTGGGAACTATAATGACTTTGGAAATTATAGTGGACAACAGCAATCTAATTATGGACCCAAGAAGGCAGACAATTTTGGTGAAGAAGCTCAGGCAGTCCCTATCATGATGCCTGTGGATCTGGTGGTGGAAATGGTAGCAGAATGTTTTTAAAAAATAGCAGAAAAACTGTTTAAGAAACAGTTTTTAATAGGAGAGAGCGCAGAGAGTTTTCAGGAAAGCGGCAGGTTACTTTGAGACAGTTGTCCTAAATGCATTAGAGGAAATGTAAAAATCTGCCAGAGAAGGAGTGATGATCCATAGTCAGAAAAGCTACTGCAGCCTAAACAGGAAACCCTTCTTGCTCAGGACTGTCATAGCTACAGTTTGCAAAAAGTGCAGCTATTGATTACTGCAATGTAGTGTCAATTAGATGTACATTCCTGAGGTCTTTTATCTGTTGTAGCTTTGTCTTTTTCTTTTAATTACATTAGTTATGTTGTTCTGTAAATTGTGATAGTGGTACCAGGAATAAAAAATTAAGTTAAAATTTTAATTTTAAGAAAAAAAAAAAACCAAAGTCCACAAAAGAGGAGAATGTATGTATAAATCAGGTATCTGCTAAGGGAATCACTTAAAAAACTATGAAGCCAGGCATTGGTGGCGCACGCCTTTAATCCCAGCACTCGGGAGGCAGAGGCAGGCAGATCTCTGTGAGTTCGAGGCCAGCCTGGTCTCCAGAACGAGTGCCAGGATAGGCTCCAAAGCTACAAAGAGAAACCCTGTCTCGAACCCCCCCCAAAAAAAAACTATAGAAAATTCATTCATTATGTAGCCCTGGTTGCCCTGAAACTTGCTACATGGATAAGACTGGCCTTAAACTCAGAGAATCACCTGCTTCTGCCTCCTATTGCTGGCTGAGACTTAAGGTATGTGCCACCATTAACAGAAGATGCAGAAAAGGCAACAAACATAATAAGTTGCTGAGTATTCTGGTGTGTGTGTGGGTTCATTGTTCATTGCTGGTAGAGCATAATGAAGAGCATCTGCTGTGGAAAGGAGTGTCAGTTCTTTAAAACACAGAGTATCACACCACCTCACCAGTTCATTCCTGGGTATGTACTCAAGAGAATTTAAAACACATCTACACAGAAGTTCTGCATCAGCAGCATTATTCATAAAAGCCCCAACGCAGAACCAAATATCCATCAACTCATAAATTTTGTTGAACATTATTTTTCCCTTATTGTTGAACATTATTCACCCACAAAAAGCAATGCCATGCTGACATCTGCTACTACAAAAACTTTGAAAACATTATGCTAAATGAATAAGCCAGTCACAAAAGAACATATGGTACATAATCTCATTTATACAAATGCCCATAATAGGCAAATTCATGAAGACAGGAAGTAGATTGTTCTCCAACGTGGAGAGAAGTTAGTTCTGCAAGAAAGTAGGAAATCATTGAGGACAGGTACAGAAGAACATTTTTAAATGGCTTAAGAATATATTTTTAAATTAAACAGTGATAATGGAAGAATTAACTGTGAGTGACTCAAAGTCGCAGCACTTTAAACTTGTAGAACTTTTGATATGTGAAATACAGCTCAGTGAAGTGTTTCAAGAAATAGATTTTACAGTGGCAGCAGTCAGATAACTATCACTTTTCCTGAGAGGTAGTGTTGGTGGAGTATCTCAGAATTGATAACACTGATTCAGTTCATGAACTTGTTCATTTTATAAAATTATATACTTTGCTGTGTCTAGTATTTGATAAAAGGACACTCTAGAAAAAAAAAGGACATATAGTTTGTTTTTGTTGTCATGGTTTTGAGAGAGTCTCATTGTGTAGTCTAGGTGGGTGTTGTACTCCCTGTATAGCCAAGTTTAGCCTAGAACTTGGGGCAATCTAGCCTTAGCCTACCGAGTGCTGGGGTTATAGACATGTGCCATGATCCTCATTTCATAAAAGTTCTATTTTTAAAATGAGCGCACGCACGCACGCACGCACGCGCGCGCGCACACACACACACACACACACAAATACATACCAACAGGTGGACCTGCTGGTACCACACATTTCTTTTCTATTCGTGTAGCAGGAGGTGCATTCTGGTTCTTAGCAAGATTTTCCTGCATTAGTTCCTGAACCCGGGCTTCATTAATCTTTGGGAAAGGAAGAATATGAACTCTCAAGTGGGATCCTTCTGTTGGGCGTGGAACCTTCTGGAATGCCATATGAGGGTTTGGATTCTCCTGTAGCATCAGACACAAATAAAATGGTCCAAGTTAACATATCTAACATAACAGTGGAAAATAGGAAAACTAGAAGAGCACAGAAGGACACATTGAAATCAGGTGAGTGATTATATATTCATATACATGCCAATGTATATAGAATGTCAGAATCTTCTTCCAGGATCTTTAGCAGCATCTGAGATAGCTGGTCGTCTTCTTCCATGATTATGTCCCTTGCTGGGATTTTAGATCTGATTGCATCTCCTCACCTCTTAATTATGTGAATACCTCAATGCTAAAACCTTGGGGCTTTATTAACACTGAAATCCCTTCGAGATTACTTCCAGTCTCTTACCTCTTAATCATAAAGACATCAATGAGTCAATGTTCTTTTTTTTGGGGGGGGGTTGTTTTTAGTTTTGGTCTTTTCTTTCTTCCTTCCTTTCTCTCTCTCTCTCTCTCTCTCTCTCTTTCTTTTTTGAGACAGGTTTTCTTTGTGTAGCTCTGGCTGTCCTGGAACTCCCTTGTAGACCAGACTAGCTTTGAACTCTAGTTCTGCCTATCTATAGATCTGCCTGCCTATCCCTCCCAAGTGCTGGCATTGAAGGTGTGTGTCACCACTGACTGGCTTGACTCAATGTTCTTAATCTGAGTGTTCTCCAATTGTATAGTCTTCTTCTTAACTATTTACACAAAATATTTCCACTAAGATTTAAAATAACATCTTTAATTTAGGTCTAAAATGTAGTCTATCTATAAATCTATTTTACTCTGTCTCGATCACTGCAGTGAATGTCATATGCATTTTTCCCCAATCATCCCGTGGAAAGATTGGTCATCTTTATCCTCTTTTCTAACATGTAACTATCCACTTCTCTTGTGGGACTTCACCTTCAGAGTACATTTATAGTTTGACTACCTCTCATTTTAGTTTAACCCAACAGTTCTTATATTATCCAGTACATCTGGTCCCCTTGGTTCCGCCCTTTTCCATCTTTCAATAATGAAGACATTGATTTCATTAAAAGCATGACAACTCACTACACAACCTTGTTCAGTAAAGTGGCCTTCCCATCAGAGTGAAACCCAACAAGACTAAAGGATCTAAACTTTCTTTTTTTTTTTAAGATTTATTTATTTATTATGTGTACAGTGTTCTTACTGCATGTTGCTTACAGGCCAGAGGAGGGCACCAGATCTCATTACAGATGGTTGAGAGCCACCATGTGGTTGCTGGGAACTGAACTCAGGACCTTTGGAAGAACAAGCAGTGCTCTTAACCACTGAGCCATCTCTCCAGCCCCAAGGATCTAACCTTTCTAATTCAACTATATGCTTCATCTACTTGAGTCAGGGTTCACAGGCTCTTTGGCACACAACTGTTACCTTGGTCTGGATTCCCTCTGAATCTGCATTTCTTATGGACATCCTTTCTGGACACCTTACCAAAAATATATTGCCTCCCCTAATATATCCCTTATCTAGCTTCTATTTTTCTCTTTAATATGTAAAACCTATTTACATAGTAAAAGTTTTAGTTATTGTTTAGCATTGTCTTACTAAGACAAAGCACCACAAAAGCAGATGTCTTCCTTGATTAAGTTATTTTTTAATTAAAAAATTTTATTAAACCATTTTATTTTGCTTTGTGTATATGTGTGTGTGTGTGTGTGTGTGTGTGTGTGTGTGTGTGCATCTGTGTGTCTGTGTGTATGTGTGTCTATGTGTGAATGTGTATGTGTGTGTGTGTATGTGTGAGTGTGTATGTGTGAGTGTGTGAGTATGTGAGTGTGTGTGTATATGTGTGTGAGTTTGTATGTGTGTGTGTGTATATGTGTGTATATGTGTGAACCATTTTATTTTGCTTTGTGTATATATGTGTGTGTGTGTGTGTGTGTGTGTGTGTTTCTGTGTGCATATGCACTCGTGCATGCATGTGCCTGCAGAGGCTGGAGGAGGATATCGACTGTCCTGAAGCTGGAGTCCTAGGTAGCTGTGACTAATATGGGTCTAATATGGGTGCTGGAAACTGAACTCCAGTCTTTTAAAAGGCCTCTGGGCCATCTCTCCAGCCCTATATTAAAGAGTTGGTTATTTGTTGTTGTTCCCGCTGTTCTTTGTTGTTTTATTTGTCCTGTTCTATACCTGTTGCAGAAAAAAATGAGAGGTATGTAGAAGGTACTAATGTACTTCCACTGCATGCTAACAAGTGGAAACAATGACTCACATCAAAATTGTAATTATTTAATTACTTTAAAGTTTTTGGTGCAGGAGACTAAACCTAGGACTTTCCATATGCTACCACTGAGTAACACCCCCTAACCCTACCAGCTAATATTTTTAAATATTCTAGGGCAAACATGAAACTTTATCTAGCATCCAGTTCAGGAGGATTCCATTTCAAATCCTGAGCAGAGTGGAATTTATGTGTTCTCTAAGTTCTCTAGGGAAGGCTGCTTTACAACCTTTCTTAGACCAATTCTAGCATTTATTATCCTTCGGCCACCAGGAAATTCCTTACTTCCACTGAACCTATGCTATTCATGGTATAGACTAAACTCATTAGGATACTATAACATGCTCTTGTCAGTTAAAAATGGTCAACTGTCAGTATCTATTAGAACTACTCCTCCAAATTCTTTTTGGTTATGTCACTCAGACCCAGAAAAAGAAAAAGATAGATCAGGGCAGAGGATACAGTTAGCATTTCCCAAAACACAATAGAAATAAAACTGCTCTATGGGTCAAAACACTGTAATTTGGTTCTTGTACAGCACAATATGTGATGCTAGATAAATAACTTTACCTAAGATAATCAGGCTTATGTTACAAATTTCCTTGAAAAAGTAAAATTGTGTATATTTAACCTTTTTCCTAAAATTCTGCCTGGAATTAACACAAATATCACTTGTCTGTATTCTCTGTAATTTCTTTCTTCAGAAAGTAACACGTTTGTTAGATTTGATCTTTAGCATGAATTTTATTCATATATTCTCAAAATATTTAATTAACAATTTTCTAAAATATAGTTTTTCCAGCATGGAGAGGTAATTCATAAGGACCTTGAATCCTGAATCCATTAAGTATATTTACTACTTCTATTTTGACTTATTTTTGTAGAAATTTTTTTAAAAAACTGTGCACTCTATTTCAAATGAAATAAATAATACTCATCATGACAACTTATAGTTTTTGTATATGTATATACAATATATATATACACATATATATGCATATGTATATGTTCATAGTATGTCATCATGGGTATACTCCAGAGTGTGTGTAAAGGTCTAAGCAACATTTTGGGTGTTAGTTTCCACTTTACATCTTGTTAGAGACAGGGTCTCTCTTGTTCACTACCGTGTAGTCTAGGTTAGCTGGCTTGCAAGCTTCTGGCATTTTTCCTGGACATGCATTCCATCTCCCCTCCGAGGCACACTGAAATGAATTATGGACTTGGACACCACTGTGTCTTGTTTTTATATGAGCTCTGGAAATCTAAACTCAGACCGTCAGGTTTGCATGATAAGGGCTTAACCCACTGAGCCATATTCCTAGCTTCCTCATTTTAACAACTCTTAACATATTAAAAAATAACCTTTTGTAATAATGCAAGTATCTCTGAGTTACATTTTATTTTTCTTAGCATCTCTATTACTTGCTGTTCTAACAATGACTTAAGGTCATTTAGAAAAACAAAGGGTACACATAGCACTTCTAGTCAAAATCTGTAATGTGGCATGCTTATTTTTATAGGAAAGAACAAAGACCCACAAAAAGTCAAGGATGTTCAGAACATTATAGCTTGAATCTTACATGCCCCCCAGTGGCTCATATCGTAGGCTCTGTCACCAGCCATTGGTGCTATCAGGAGTACTAAAGTCTTTAGAAGTTAGGAATAAGCAGAAAGAAGTTATATCACAGGGTATGTACCCTTATTGGGAATATTGGTCCCTTGGCACCTTTCTGTCTTGGCTTCCTAGTCACAGTGAGATGAATAGTCTCTTTCACTATGTATACAAGCCATGGTATCTATGCCACAAAAGCCCAAAACATCAAGGTCTAGAAGCTATTGCTTAAAGTCTCTGAACCATAGAATCAACATAATCTTTCCTCTATGTAAGTTCATTGTTTCAGGTATTTTGTCCCAGTAACAGAGAACTGAGGAACAGACAGAAAAATGGGTGAGTCAAGGTTTCCAGATATATTCAAACTTACATATACTCATAACCATTAATGAAGGGTTAAATGAACAAACTGAACAGAAGCCCAGAAACAAGATTAATTATGAAAATATGATAACACTAGGTACTTATGTTTTTGTATGACATATTTTAAAATGAAATTCCTTTCCTTTTTAAGATCGCAACACCAACTACTTATGTTAGTAAGACTAGTGATTGTACTTGCAGTAAAAGTAGCAGTAGCAGTCTACACATAAATCACTTAATAATGAAAAGATGTTGCTCATTATCAATATTCCTATAAATATAATCAGAAAAACTGCAAACCAAATCCACACAACATTTGAAAACCCCAAGTTAAAAGTTCAAAGGTGACCTTATCTGTAGTGGCAGAAACATTCTACATCAAAATGCAGCCCTTAGGTAAATTTACTAAATTATGACATATTGTGTCTACAGGATGCAAATCTACTAGCTGGTTTCCGGCTGCTGTGTCTGTGTACTACTGCCCTCTAACGGGCAGCATGTTAAGTGTAAAGGACCACATGTGTCATCTGAAACTTTTTAGTTCCTAAAAGAACTTATATGAAAAGAGCAGCAAGGAAGCTCACCTTAGGATTTTCTGTACTCAAGGGGGGTCTCAGAAATATCTACTTTCATTCCTCACTGTAAAGAGATAAAGGGGTTTTGACTGGTTCCCTAGGTAACTGACTTCATTAAAAACTATAGTCCAGTTTTGCTGATGAAACAAGGAAATCCATTATTTTCTAAGAGTCCAAACCAAGAAACAATTTTTTACTTGGGTTCAGATAAATGTAAATACAAAGTAATAGC